CATCTTTGATATTATTTCCCAATGTTCTACCCAGAAGCGTCAAGTGGTTTCCTCCAGGTAGGAAGACATTAAGACAATGGGAAAACAAAATTCCTTGGTCTGGCTTATTTTTATGAGAATATAACATTCCCAATTCTTTGGTGTTAAAGACTATTTTTTCAGATGGGGTCTTAGGATATAACCCAGGCTGGTCTCAAACTCCTGGATTCAAGTGTTTCTCCAACTGTAGCCTCCTGACTAGCAGGGACTACAGGTGTGCACCACCACACTCGGCATGTTTAAGGCTTGAGGACAATCCTAGATTTATTTCTGCCACAGGAGGGAAGCCAGGCTATTTAACTGGTATGATTTCAGAAAAATGGCTTCTTACTCTCTAATCTCCCTGGCTTATGCTTTACGACTTTCTAAAAGAAATTTTCTGGACATTTTGCTACATGATCAAAGAAGGGACTAACAGTCAAATATTCATCTTAGGGATCATGAGACTAAATTTAACAGACTGTGCTCCTCTCTCTTCCGTAGCACCGCATGTGCTCTAGTTTTACGTGTATTTATTTGAGATCAGTGTTTTCTTTTCTTTTCCTTTTTTTGGTACCAGGGATTAAACCCAGGGGCACCTAACCACTGAGACATATCCCCATCCCCTTTTAAAATTTTTAAATTTTTTTATTGTGAGACAGGGGACAGGGTCTCTCTAAGTTGCTCAGAGCCTGGCTAAGTTGCTGCAGCTGGCTTTGAACTTGCAATTCTCTTGCCTCAGCCTCCTGAGATGCTGGGAACACAGGCATGTGCCACCGGGATCAGTGTTTTCTAATGTTCATTGCATCCCAACTTGTACCTTGATTAACTTACTATTCTCCCGATTAAGAAAAAAGTCCTTACAATTTAAACAAAGTATTTAAAAATCTTTATACATTTCTGTGAACAAAAAACTGATCTCACTTTTAAGATACCAGTTATCACCAAACAACATAGTAAGAACAATATTATTTGACTTAGAAATGGGAAATAGCTTGCCCCAAACTCTGGATCTGATGCCTCTCTTCTCTCTTTTCCTTAGAGAGGTGTCAAAGACCTTCATCCTTAGGTTCTTAGTGTCTGAGTCTCTGCACCTCCTGAGTATTTGTGGCTACCACCAGGCTCCTCCTTTTACTTTAGGAACCCATAACTCCACTACAGTTGGCCATTTATTTTTTATATCCCTGCTAGCAACAGCTTCTTCTTAGTGCCGTTGCCACCACACACAATGAAGGCTTGGAGAGAGCTGGTAGCTCATTAAGGAACAAAGTGATGACCCTCTTCAGGTGCCAAAGACAGGATAAATTCTTTACTGAATGGCATGCTGGGAAGAGAAAGCTGGAAAGTCATGAAGTCAAAAAGAGTCAAACAAGACAATAAAGAAGAGTAGGCTGCAGACTTCTAGGATAAACTGCAGCGGCCTAAGGATGTTTCCTGATGTGGTTCTTGGTTGACAGCATAGAGTAGTGCCAAGAACTTATGTTCTAGATTCAGATGGTTCTAAGGTCAATCCAGACTCGTTACTAATTACATGAATTTGCCTAAATTATTTCTCTCTGGGGGTCTTAAATTCCTTGCTGATAAGCAATTTAATATATTCTTACCAATTACCACACACCACACTTTATGGATAGAGAACAGGACAAAAGAAGACTTTGCTATCAGAGGATGTCAATCAGCTATCTATCATCTATCCATCTATCCATCTTATATTGACTTCAGTAAAGTTTGAGATTATTATTAATGTTTTGTTATTTTGGTAGTAGAATCCCTAGTCTGCACTATGAGTATTATTAGCAGAATGTAAACACTTAATGGATTATGTTTTTTGTTTTTGTGGTATTGGGGATTGAACCAGGGGTGCTCTACCACTAAGCTATATCCCTAGACCTTTTTATTATTATTTAAAAAAATTTTGATACAGGGTCTTGCCAAGTTGCCAAATCTAGCCCCAAACTTATGATCCTCCTGCCTCAGCCTCCCAAGTAGCTGGGATTACAGGTGTGCACACCATACCTATCTTAATGGATATTTATCAATTGAAAGAATCCCACGGATCAGTAATCTTTCTATAGGAAATTAATTATTTCTCCAGTCTTCCCTAAGTTTGTCACCACCTGCCCAAATGTTTAAATCAAAAGTCTTGATTATTTACTTTATTGAGCACTTATTAGGGTCCAAGAACTGTGTGGGGTGTTAGTATGGGGAAAGCAAGGGGAATGTCATAAATTAGACCCAACCACAGCTCTCTTGAGGATGTTAGAGAAAAAGGAAGCAGGGGAACTGTTTTTTTTTCCATTTGTTTAACATTTCTATTATCTTTAGCTTCTTTTTGGCATTTTGATAACACCTGGACAAACATATGTAAATATTTATAATCCATACCATCTGAATTGAGAAAAGGCCATCAGTACCACACAGAGGTTCCCTGGGAATGGGATATGTGAAAGCCCATACTTTGTAATTCTCACTGTTTGTGAAAACTAGAAAGGAATAATACTTGTTTTGAATGCTACTGGGATTCTCCCACTCTGGTTCAGCCTCTCTGTAGATAAAGTAAATGTCCAGGAATATCTTCCCCTAGTTAGAATGGCCATTACTAAGAATACAAATAATGATAATTGCTGGTGAGGATGTGGGGGAAAAGGTATACTAATAAATTGTTGGTGGGATTGTAAATTAATACAATCACTTTGGAAAGAAGGTTGGAGATTCCTCAAGGTTGTAGGAATGGTACCACAACATGACCTTGATATCTCACTCCTTGTTGTTTATCCAAAAGACCTAAAATCAGCATGCTATAAAGATATGTGCATACCAATGTTTATAGCAGCACATAATAGCCAAGTCATAGAACCAGCCCAAGTATCCATCAGTTGATGAATGGATAAAGAAAATGCTGTATATATAACCAGAACAGAGTTCTACTCAGTCATAAAGAAGATGAAATTGTTCCATTTGCTGGCAAATGGATAGAACTGGAGAATATCATGCTAAGTAAAATAAGCCAGACTAAGTAAGTCAAGGGTGGAACGTTTTCTCTCATATTCAGAAGCTAGAGAGAAAAAAGGAATTAAAAAAAAAGGCAACCTTGTTAAAATAGAAAAGAGATCAATAAAGTAGAAGTGGAGGACTAAGAAGAAGGGAGGGAAAGGAGAAGAACTAAGGGAGGAAGTTGACCAAATTATGCTATGTGCATGTATGAATATGCATTCTAATTCATTATACATAACTATAATGTACCAACTAAAAAAATAAATGGAAAGAAGACCAATAGAGTAGAAGAAGGGGACCAAGGTGAGGAAGGAGGGGAGGGAAATACTGGGGATTGAAATGGAGAAAAAATGTTATATGCAGCCATGAATATGTCAAAATGAGCCCCACCAGGTATAACTATAAAGCACTAACATAAAAAAAGATTCAAAATTATGAAAAGAATTTAAAAGGCACAGGGAAAATGACTCTTGCCTACATCTTTTTCAGCCAACTCACAGCTGAGTGAGCTAACTTATTTCTATCGAGTGTGGGCTGTACTTTATATATCTATGTCTCTATATAAAGAATGGTTTCAAAATATTCTGTGACTCTTTGGCTTAATTATGAGTCATTAGGCCCTTATTTGAGAGAGAGAGGGAGAGAGAGAGGTGGAAGAAGAACTTTGAGCACAAAGCATGTATGTACTAGTAAAACAGTATTTGGAATGCATGTGTAAGAAGTTCTTAAAGACTTTTGATGCAAAGAGGATGTACACGGAGGAGAACATGTGGATGCACATGTGTGTAGCACAGGTGGTGGGGAGAATCCCACAAGCAGCCAGCCTCTTAGCAACCCAGACAGTGGTAGAAGATACAGAGTGGTGTAGCACGTGATTGTTTTCCTCTCAGACCAGCACACAGGTCTTTGAGGAGCCCTTGACTTTCTTCTTCCTCCTTGTCTTGTTAAAAAGGGATTAGAGTCCAATTAAGCCATCTAATCCCAAGGTAGAAATTCATGTTTAAAAACAAGATTTACAGCTTCTTAAAAAAATATATCAGAGCAAGTTGTGGTTTGTCCTTTCAAGTTGCCACCTGTGTGGTTCCAAAGAGTGTTTTCGGCTGAACACCCATCATGCAGTTCTTCTTAATTACTTTGCTTCATACCTCTGCTCCTTCATCTTTTAAAGTGCCCTTCAACCTAAATAGCCACATTCTGTTAGAAGTACTTCAGCTTCTGGATTGCCACAATGCACCTTGACTTATCTCTCTTCAGTGGGCTACTTAGTGACCAGGATTAAACAATAGAAATAGTATTAGGAGCTCATGCTTACTGGGAGCTTGGTATGTGCCAGGAATCACTGTGCCAAGTACTTTACATGCATTATTTCATTAGGTGCGCCTTATGAAATCACCCAAGCCGGCTTCATGTGTATGTGACCCATGTAGACATTCAGGGCTATCACTTGTGATCTGCTCTTGCCATCTTGAAATTGTTAATAAATTTTGAGCAAGGGACTTGAATTTTCATTTGGGATTGGGTCCCACAAACTTATGTGGTCAGTCCTGAGAACACTCAGTCATGTGTAGATATTTGCATTTTTTCTTTGTGATTCCTAATATTTTGCTCGAGGATGGGACAGTGAGTCTGACATAAGACAAAATCATCTCCGGAAAATGGGAGCCATCATCTCCTTGGGGAGAAGTTCTCAAAGGGACAGGAGTCATGGGATCGCACTTAGCATGGGATAGAAAAGTAGTTTAAGCTCTCTGTGCCTCAGTTTCCTCGTCTTTAAAATGGGGATAATAATACTACTACTTAAATCACAGGCTATTCAAGGATGAAATGAGATCACATACACAGTTCCGATATGTAATACTTATTACGTTAGTTAATATTCATGGGTTATGGATGCTTTGCAAGGACTAAGCATCAAATATCACTTGTGACCTAGGGTGGATCCCTTGTCTACCTCCAAGTTTCCCTTCTTCCCAGGGATCTCTTCCTACCTGTGCTGCAGAGCTGGGAGGGAAGTCCACCTTCTCCATGTGCTGGGTGATCACAGAGGGGTTGCTGGAGCTTATCAGCACTGGAGTGCTGATCTCCACCATATGGCGCCCTGAAGGAGAATGGACCATCCGGTTGAGGGTGTTCAGGGCTGTTGTGATGGAAAACTGTCCTGGTGCCTTCCTCCTGGATCCTGGGACCCTGCGGAGGGTGGGCGTGTTGGTCGCTTTGCCTCTGGAAGATGAGTTCACCAGGGACAGGTTTTTTGTGCGGGATGATGGGCGCCCTTTGTTCTTCTCTAGAAGTTGTCTTGCGGTGAAGTTTGGCTGAAAAGACAGAAGGTCCCGTGAGAAATTAATTTTTCTCATCTCTGTGGTAGTGAAGTCCCATCTAAGCTAGTCTGATGCCTGGCTAGGTGCCACCTTGGTCACTGGTTCAGAGGGCCGTTCCTTCACAGCTCTCACCTTTTATCAATGTGCTATTATCTCACAGCTCTCCTGCAAAGTAGGTATTTTTACTGTGGTCCAAAGGTTTAAAAGTGACCCGCGATACTCTTTCCCCATCTGGAGTACTCTTCCTTTACCCATTTCTCCCAGTTGCATTCAGCCTTTTTTACCTCCTGGATTCTGCCTGCCTTAGTCATCTCCGAATCCCACCCCCAGGCCCCCAGGGTGGGCTGCTCAGCCTTCTCAGGGCTCCAGCAGCCACTGTGCTTCCCATCAGGGAGTTTTTCATTCCATACTGAAATTGTTGACTTGCCTTTCTCCACTGGCCTGTGAGCCTTCCAGGACAAGGACCTTATATATATTATTCTGTCCTGTATCCCAGAATGACTATATAGTGAGTATTTGTGGGTGAGTGAAGTTGCTCAAACTCATACATTTAACAAATGTTTGAACCAGAAGGCAAATGATTTTGAGATCCTGATTTCTATGCTGATTGTCTTTTACGACTTCCTTGAAATACTCTCATCTCTTCACTTTCTCTCTTGTTCTATACCTTGCAGTCAGCAGTGTGCTGGTGACTCACCTCACATAAAAAAAAAAAAAAAAAAAAAAAAAAAGGAAAAGCCATGATCTCTTTACCAACCTGCCAGTTGACTAACAAAATTCCTGAAAATGTAATAACCTACTTTGTTTGTTTTGATTGTTTGTTTTTTTTGCTCTAGTACCAGCCAGTTCCAGCACACCACTGAATTACCCTCTGCCTTCTCTACCCTATTGGTCAATTCTCACAAATGTCTTTTAAGTACTCAACTCACTGAGAACGCTTGTGGGTTTATTTCCTTGGGAAATGTGAAACAGGTTGACAAGACAAGGTTCATATTTATTAACTGAAATTTTAGGATAATTACTTAAATCCCCTTTATTGTAATTGCCAGCAGTTGTTTTCTAAATCCACATGTATCATTCTAATTTAGAAACTCAACTACAGGGGTAAGATGAAAATTTTCCACTTAAGAAGTTTTTAAAAGACAATTCGTAGAGGATTAAATAGCTTGGAGGGAAAAATTTAAAGAGAGACATAATTTTCACCTTGAGAAGCTTGACTACTGTGAAAAACTCAAGTAGGGGGGAGATGATGTCCACTTTAAAGATAAGAAAGCTGAGGTCTAGAGAGAGTGACATCCATGACACAGCCAGCATGTAGACGACTAAACAAGACAAGAGCAGATTTGAGGGAAGTGTCTGTGGTAGGCTGGGAAGTCAAAGGAGACTCTCTGGGAAGGTGACTTTAAAGCTGAGATAACATGATGTGAAAATGGGGGTAAGAACATTCCAGGTGGAAGTATTATAAGCTAGTGGGAAAGTTCTAAAGAGGGAAGGAGCTTGGCCTGTTTGAGGAAAAGACGAGAAAGAGACAGAAGGATGGAATGGAGTAGCTGAGGAGGCGGTAAAGAGTGGGTCATAGAGGGAGGCGGGGGCCAGATCACTGAGCGCCTCTGAGGCTCCAATTTTATGTTAAGTGTAATAGGAAGCCTTTGGCAGGATTTATATAGAGAAGCGACATGATCTGATTTATGTTTTCAGAAGCTCATGTTACAGTTTGGCATTTTCTTATAGTTAAACACATACTTAGCATGTGACCCAGCAATGTCACTCTTAAGTAATCACTCAAGAGAAATAAAAACTTATGCTCAGTCAAAATCTGTATGGAAATATTTATAGCAACTTTTTTTTTTTTTGAGATGGGTTCTCCTTATATAGCCCAGGCTGGCCTCTAACTTACCATCCTCTTTTCTCAAGCATGCAGGATTAAGCAGCTTTAATCATAACTGTCAACATGGGAAACAACCCCAGGGTCTTTTAACAATTGATATAAACCAGCACTGATACATCCATACAATGGAATATTACTCGGCAAAAAAGCATGAATTATTGATATGTGAAACAACATATGAATCTCAAATGCTTTATGCAGTGATGGAAGCCAGACTCAAAAAGTTATATTCCTTATGATTCATTTTATATGACATTATGGAAAAAGAAAAATATAGGAACAGAAAACAGATTAGAGGTTGCCAGGTGTTGAAAGCCGGGCAAGGAATTTCAGCATGAGGGGTTCTTGGGGGAAGTGTTGGAACTATTCTGTACCTTGATTTGTGATATGGTTATGCAAGTATATGCATTTATCAAAACTTATAGAATTGGACACCAAGAAGAGAGAGCAAACTTTATGTAAATAAAATAAACAAAAAGTTCATTATAGTTATTATTAAGAAGTTCCAGAACAGAAGTAAAAAAACAAATTCAAAGTTACTGAAATTATTCAGGCAGGCTCTGATGGCAGCCTGGACTAGGGACAATGCCTTATCCCCAGAGGACCTGCCCCTCCATGCTTCACCCAGTAAAAGGTCAATGAATACTCTTTGAATTAAATAAGTAATGTTCTTTGCAGCCATCCACAACTATAATTAGTCATTTTTTTTTCTGCTTTGACCTCATTGCTCTGCCCCCAGGTGAGTACCACCATTGGCTTTTCTATCACAATATTGACAAAGAGTCCCAGGAGTCTCTGCATCAGCCCTTTCCTTTGCCTGTGTGATTAATAGCTCAGCTGGGGAAGGGTTGCAGGTCTCTTAGATTTGCACCCACTCATTTGAAACAATATCCTTGAGGTTCACTGAGCTGAGCAAGGTTCACATAACCCAGGCAGGCCCCGTTGGAGAAGTCCTGACAAGAATGGCATAAGCTCAGTGTTTGCTTTACCACCTTTTATGCAGGTGCAATTCAATAAATCAAATGACACACTAACAGGAAAAATCCTGTTGATGTCAAAAAAATGCATCACCCACATAAGAAAGCCTTTCTTTCTTCCGATTGCTTTGCAAAACCCTGGTAATTCAGAGCTTATTTAAAGAGTTCTCAGCAAGTGCTAGTCTTAATGAAATTACTGGAGTCAAAATTGAAGTACTGCTTTAAAAAGCTCCATTTAGATTTCAAGTAATTTTTGAAAAGCAGGTTCCCAGATTAGAGCAACCACTTGATTATCTTTTCCCATCCTAGCAATTAGGAGAACAAATGAAGCAATGGCTAGTTTGATGATAATTTGGAGGGTTCTTGTAATCACTAATTTTAGAGGTAAAGTGGTAGGGAGAGTACCCAATGAATAATCATTAAATGTAAAAGTTTTGGGAAAAGGGGGTTTCAGAAATGGGTAATAAAATCAGTGGTGCCTTCCCACTATGAATGCAAGAGATCATGCAAGAATTTCCACACTTTGTACGTGTCCAGCTGGGTACTAATCACAGCTGATCTCTGTCTATGGAGAGTTAACCATTGTCTCCCAGTCATCATTATTGTTTCTATTCAGCAAAGGTTACTTGACCCAGCAAATGGCTCCACCACTGACTTAGGCACACAAATCAGAAAGCGAGGTACCTCTTGACCACTTCCTCTCTCCTGTCCTCCACTTCTTTGATCCCCATATCTCTAGAGTTCAGTCTGCTAAGAGGCCCTTGAATGTGTTCACTTGTTTCTCTCCACTAGTCTAAGCCACAATCATCTGCTAACTGAGCCATGCAATAGCCTCCTAAAGGGTTTCTTTGTTTTATTTCTCCCTCCTTTTCAAAATATTCTTCTCACTGCAGTCAGAACAGCCATTAAGAAACAAGTGATTTCTGAGGAAATCACTGCCTCACTTAAAACCTTTCAAGGCTTTTTTGACCTCTGGGTCAAATCCAAACTTCTTATGATATGGCACAGAGGATATTCACCCAAGTATTCCATGTGTTCCCCCATACTTCTCACCTATTTTGCAGTCGAGTGTACCTACATGACTAGTTCAGGGCAATGGGCTATGTGTGGGAGTAGGAAGTGTCACTTCTGAGCTGAGGCATTTAATTGCTGGTACACAACTCACTCTTTTCTTCCTGTGGAAATGAGGAAATCCACATGTTCCAGATAGTACAGTTATAAGATGACCTAGCCTTATTAGTCTGGGTTCCTGAGTGACTATGTGAGCAGAAATTCTCACCATCCTTTGATAAACATCATAGGTGAGAAATAACATTTTCTTTGTTAAGTTGGAGACTTCAGTGCTATTTATTACAGCAGCATCACCTAGACCCTTCTGACTATATAACATGGTTTACAAAGCCATCAGTGACCTGCCTCCCATTTACTTCTATGGCTTCAATTTTTGTTATTCTGTCACTCTCTCTAAGTTCCAGCTCTGACATTCTTTTGGTCCCTTAGACACACTACATTTCCTTGTGTTATGGGACTCTTGCATAAGATATCTCCATTTCCCCCAATGCTCTTCCCTCTATACTTAACTTATGTAATTCCAATCATCTGTCAGATCTTGGCTTGTTATCCCCTAGCCAAGGTAAGTTAGAGCAACCACTTGATTATCTTCCCACCCCAGAAGATAACCCATCATATTTCCTCCTGCTTCACCCTTCACATCATTAGCACACTTGTAATTACCTGAACATCCAACTCTGTAATCTCCAAATGTAGGGACCCATATCTATCTGTGTCTTTGGAACTTAGCACAGGACCTGACATAGCAGGCTCCCACTGAAAAATTAGTTAAATGATTGAATGTTTTTAGGACAGGGTCATACTGGATGGTTTGTCCTCTAATTTTTTTTTTCTGGCCACCTTCAAATAGTTTTTCATTCATGGATTTGTTAAGCAATATACTTTTTTCTTTCTCCCACCCTTCCTCCCTCCATCCTTCTTTCCTTCATTCCTTTTTCTCAGTGGGAATTGGATCCAAGGTTTTTCACATGCTCAGCAAGCTGATTTTTATTTATTTATTTATTATTATCATTTTTTTTTTTTTACAGAATTCCGTTCTGTTTGTTATGCTAGCTTGTGAAGTACAACCAACACACCTGTCAGGTGTTCAGAAAGGAAAGAAACCATTGTGTTCAACTAATTGCTGAAATTTCATGAGAATGTGGATTTCTAACCGAGCCTTTATAAAATGAGTGAACAGGTGGAAAGTACTGGATGGATGTGCCTGCAGGGGTCCCAGCAAGAGAAAAGAGCATCAGAAATGAGATTATCTTTTGACAGAGACAGTAAAAAGAACAACTTTTCTGGGCCCTTTCCCATCTGTCCCTCTAATTGTCCATTCCTTCAACACTGATGGAGTAGAGGTACAGAGAACCTGGAGAGCCAGCCGGAGCTCTGGGCACCCATCCACTCACAACTGCTTTGGTTTTTATGAGTGGAGGAATTGGTCTCTTTTCCCAAACTATGCCTCTCTTCTGTTTTCATCCCATCCTTCTAGAAGGGGAGACCACACCTTTAATTTCTTTCATAGCTCTCCAAAACTCATTTTTCATGCTTCTGCAGAGTAAGCGCCCAATAAATGGCTAAACAATGAAACCTCTCTTAAATTTGTAGTGACTTGCTTCAAGCCAGGGTGAGGCTCATGGCTAGTGGGGTCAGGGACTACGAGTTATATTATTATTCTGGAGGAATAGATAGATGGCCTAGCATGTTTCCTGATTTTTTAAAAATAAATGAGCCTAAAAAATCCCACAGAAGTAATACACTTATGCTCATTTCACAGGATTTAGAAAATACAAACTGATAGAAGAAAATGAAAATCATCCTGAATTTCACCATCTACTTATTGTTACTGTTAATATTTTGGTACGTGTCTTTCTAGTTCCTTTTCTATTTATATGCACATATATATTTATAAAGCTAGTTTCATGTAGCTTTTTTATTGTGGTACAAAACACATATAAAAATTTACTATCTTAACTATCTTAAACTGTACAGTTTAGTAGTATTAAGTATATTCACAGAGTTATAAATCAAATCTCCAGAAGTTTTTCATCTGGTGAATCTAAAACTCTGCACTCATTAAAATATTTTTTTAACTCAACAATAAATCATGATTTTTTCTATAATATCAAATACTCCTTGATTTTAAATATTATCCCCCACCATTGTTTTTAATAGGCATATACATATCTATCACTATAATTTTAAACATTAAATCCTCATCAGTGGATATTTAGATTATTTGTTTTTTCACCATTATATACAATGCTATGATGAACATTTCTGTATCTTTTGTACATATGTGTTTGCATACTTATATAAATATTTCAAACAATCATCTCTCAGATGTAGAACTGCTGACTCAACGGAGGTGTATATTTTAAGGTTCTTGGTATGAATTTATTAGAGTTTGGATATGAGAGATTTCACCAATTTACATTTTTGGCAGCAGAATAGAAAAGGTGCATTTCTTCCCACTACTGCCAGAGTTGGGTATCTTTTAAAGAAACTATAGTTACTTTTGAAATAAACCTCCTGTCAAGTAAGTGTTGGTCTCAGGCATCACTGGGGGCACATGTATATTTCTGAGTAAGCTCGAATCAGGTATAGACTTGATACTCACATACCTCCACAAACAAGATGGGAAAGATGCCTACTTTGTCTCCTAACTTGCCTTCTGCCCAGTTCTCATCCACTCGGCTGAGCACAGTGATGACATCATCCTGAAAGAGAAAGTCTTGCAGTCAGCATTTGCTCTCAGGTTTCAGGCTGTAGAGCTTTTGCTGATGAGTTTGGAGTCTCAGATGAGGTACAGCAATGTAGCTCTTGCATGATTTATCTAGGAAATCTACCTGTTAAAATACAACTTCCCCATAAAGGGCAATACTGAGGTCACCAAGACTACAAGAGGGGGTAGAAATAATTTGGAAGATCAATGGAATCTAATAGGAAAACTTGGAAATTCTTATAATTTCAATCACCAGCAGAATGCAGACTTGTCATTTAAATTAATCTGGAGATCAAGATGGAAGTTCATAGGGAGACACGCTTTTAGTTTGGCAAAAGAAGAATGAATTTCATTCCTATTTTGAAGACTTTCAAAACCTATTCATTTTAATTTACCAAACATAAAGCATTTTTTATTCAAATATTTCTTATTACAAAAGATTATTTGTAAATTTATAGAAATATTTGAAAATACAGATAAGTCTAATAAGGAAAAAATTTCTACCACAAAGATAAAACAATTGCTAACAGTTGGTTAATACATTTTTTTCCAGATTCTTTTTGTATCAAGATGAAAACTTATGTACCTATAAACATATTGATTTAGAAAAACTTTTTCAAAAACATAGGTACATGTGTTTAAAAAAGGACAAAATTTTAGATGAAAATCTGGAAGAATTTCTACATTTAACTATGGCCATGAACTCCCTGCCCCATTCAACTCAAGATCTGGAACCAGCACCCTGAAGGCTCTTTTGTGCCCTTTCCTACTCTTGAGCCCAAAGTACCCACTATTCTGATTTCTAGTACTGTAAATTCATTTTGAATATTCTTGTACTTTATACAGGACACAATGATTTTTTTGAACTTAATACTATATCAGGAACACCTTTACATGTTCATACATGTTCAGCAATCTAAGCCTGTATATTCATCTACTAAAGAATATACTGTCTGGGCTGGGTAGAGTGTTGCATGCCTGTAATCCCAGTGACTCAGGAGGCTGAGGCAAGAGGATTGCAAATTCAAGGCCAGTCTCAGCAAATAAGGGAGACCATAAGCAACTTAGCAAGACTTTGTTGCAAAAAAAAAAAGAAGAAAAAAGGAAAAAAGAAAGAAAAAGAAAAGGGATGTGGCTTAATGGTTAAGCACCTCTGGGTTCAATCTCTTGTACCAAAAAGAAAAAAAGAAAAAAAGAATATACTGTCTGGGCTATCTGAGCTGCTTTATGCTCCTAAGCAACTTAAATCAATCCAAATCTAAAATTCACTACCAAATTATACTCTCCCGCTTTTTTTTTTTTAGCATTCTTTGACATTTTTACAATTTTTGATTACACATTTCAAGTTATGATTTGTTTAATGCCCGACCATCCTAACAGAATATAAAGTTCATGAGTGCAAGGCCTGTGTCTGTTTTTTTCATTCCTGTCATTCTCAGCACCTAATGTGGTATCTCCCATGCAATAGGTATCCAATAGATATTTCTAGAATATATACAAGCATGGATGAGTACATGAATGTGTGTCTGAAAATACAATTAACTTACAGAAAAAGCATGAAGGAGAGAGCATCATTGGAGGAAGATTTTTTTTTTTGAAAAATTTTTATTAGTTATTGATGGAACTTTATGAATTTATTTATTTATATCTGGTGCTGAGACTCGAACCCAGTGCCTCACACATGCTAGGCAAGCACTCTACCACTGAGCCATAACCCCAGCCCCAAGGATCTTGAGTTTAATTTGGACATGCTGAGTTTAGGACTTCCTAGTGGAGCCTTAGCATTCCGCACTCCTCCAGAATGGACCAAATGCTCTCTCTGGACTCCTGGGTCAAAATTTTCCACAAGTCTGTTTCTTGCATTAGACACAGCCCCAGGAAGGTAGGGACGTTGACTGATTACTTTTTCCCCAATGGCTGACTTGGCACATAAATGGGCTCAAGGCATGAGTGAGAGTGTGAAGTAAATTTCTGGAGAGGGTCAGGGAAGCAGGTAGTGCTTCCAGCTCATGTCTTCCTCTGTGTCCCCAGAGCTCAGTATTTAATCATGTCTAACACAAAGTAAATACTGAATAAGTGTTCATGGAATTGAGCTGCCCTTCCTCCAACTACAGTCTAAGTGTCAATTTAGCAGTTTGGCCTGTAGAATGACCTGCCTTAGGAGTCTCTTTCTGAGATTCCAAGAAAAAAACAAAGATCACTATCTCTAAATATGGAGGACAGTGAGGTTATCTAGAGGGACTGTTAAGTCCCTCATATATGGTAGAACTGAAATGCAGATATTTTACAAAACAAAGACTTCTTGAGCTATGGTAGCAGCACTCCTTCTTTTACCTTTATTGATCTTTTTATAAATAGAAAAGAGTGAAAATAACTCCTACTTTGGTTTCCATGAGAATTTGTATATCTATGGAATAACAAACACTGAACACAGAGAGTTGAAGTGGTCTAGATTTAGTACAACTGTCATTATTTGTAAGTGGTGGGGAAGCGTACAATGAAAAAAAGAGGCCAAAATATCTTAGGGTAGTTCATGTGCTTGCAAAACATATCTTGTAAGAGGTTATTTATGTACAAAGGTATGATTATGTTACTGTGTGTGCTCAGAGTGTTTTCAATATTATGTTTACAACAAAATAGAAGGTTGTAGATAAGGGGAATTAGGTGACCATAACTTGGTCATCAGCAAGAATACCACTATGGATACATAATAAAGAGGTAGGGCTGTAGTTTCATACAGCACATGATCAAACTAATTTTTTGTTCACATAATTCTCCTATTACTCTGCCATGAAGGTAGAAAATGCAACTTTTTCATGCTTCATTCCCAGTGCCTCCAAAGAATAAGTGCTCAAAAGTGATTTCAGAATGAATCAATGTGTGAATACTTATTTTTATATTTGCAATAGAAAAAGGCTTAAAATTTTTTATTGAACACTTATTAGTAGATTTCTCTAGAGATTTCACTTCCATGCAGTTTGATTTATACATACACACTTATTGTACATATATACATGCATATATTTGCACAGGTATGTTACATACACTTACATGTATATTCATATATAAAATAAACATATTTTTTTAGAAACCAGCAAATATTAAGCAAACAGCTCTGGATTCTACAATAGTCTCTATGGGTCCTCAAAGACCGTGGTGGCCAGCAGAATCTTACCTTGAGGAAAGTCAGGCAATCCTGGTTCTCACTCTTATCCTTGTCTCGCAGGTCAAAGTTGTAGAGGGCCCTGCAGAGAGGGGGCGGCAGGGGCAGCTGCTTGATGACTTCCACGGAGCTGACTGGGAAGATCCCACTGATGCCATTGACCTCCCCATGGTACCAGTTCTCATCAAGCTGTTTCCGGAGAAGAATGATGTCACCCTTGTTGAACCTCAGGTCACCAGGATTAAGCCCTCTGTAGTTGCATAAGGCCTTGGCTCGAGGCACCTGCAGTGGCACAGAAAATAACAGGTACGTAGCTTAGAGGCTGGTGGGACAGAATATAATATGAATAACTTTAAGGAAGCATATTCTATGTGCTAATTGTGTGTGTGTGTGTGTGTATGTGTGTGTTGTCTCACTTAATCTAGGTAGCCCTTTAAGATAGATACTCATCATCCCTATTTATCAGATAGGGTGGTGACTGAGACACAGAGTGATTTAGTAACTTGTGAAGGTGGCACAGCCAGGAAATGGCAGACATAGGATCTGAACTTGGGCCACCTGATTCTATTCCAGGAACAATGTTGGGGGTTTCACTCACAAACTTTGTGAACTTGAGTGAGTCAGTCAGGGACTCTTTATGGGTCTATACTGATTTTGAATTCTGGCTCCACCTCTTTCCCCTTGTGTGATTATGGCTATTAACTCTTTTAAAAGTGTATTCATTTATAAAAAAAAAATGGGGTATTAATAGAATGCCTATCTTATTAAGGTTGGTGTGAGGAATAAAACATACCCATAATAGACTTAATATCTTGCCTATCACATAATACATGCTCAAAAAATGGTATAATGGGCTGGGGTTGTAGCTCAGTGGTAGAGCACTTGCCTAGCATGTGAGAGGCACTGGGTTCAATCCTCAGCACCTCATATAAATAAAATAAAGATCATTGCCATCTAAAAAAAGTGTATTAAAAATGGTATACGATATTTATTACCATCATTTAAAATGGAGGACCAATGTTATCAGTTCTACCTGTTCCTCAGTATTGATGGGAAGAAAATTGAGATGAAAACCACCTGGAAATAGAAAGCTCGCTCTGAGAGCAATTGCAACATCATTCATCTTCAACCTTCTGTAGGAATTGCAAACCTTGTGAGTGTTTGGATCATTAGGAAGCTCAACCAAGACAAAGAAATAATTAGTCAGAAATCAATCATCAGATTTTTTTAAAAATCAACTTGTGAATCATCATTTGTCAAATCAGTTTCCTGTCTAAATAATTAATTAAGTCAATTTTTTTTCCCCAATTGAAACTACTTTCCCTACACAGAATTAGCCTCACTCTGATCTTGCTTGGAGTCAGTTTGGCAAATTGAAAGTTCTAACAATTTAGGTTTAATCCTAATCCTTTCTGTCATGTGGGACTATATTTTTTTAATTTGCATTCTTTTTTAAAATTTATGTATAACAGCAGAATGCATTATAATTCTTATTACATATATAGAGCACAATTTTTCATATCTCTGGTTGTATACATAGTGTATTCAATTTGTGTATATTCAATTGTGTTGTATACTCAATATTATATTTAATTCATGTCTTCATACATGTACTTTGGATAATAATGATCATCACATTCAACCATCATTAATTACCCCAAGCCCCCTCCTTTCCCCTCCTACCCCTCTGCCCTATGTAGAGTTCGTCTATTCCTCCCATGCTCCCTCACCCTATCCCACTATGAGTCAGCCTCCTTGTATCAAAGAAAACATTCAGCATTTGTTTTTTTGGGATTGGCTAACTTCACTAAGCATTATCTTCTCTAACTCCATCCATTTACCTGAAAATGCCATGATTTTATTCTCTTTTATTGCTGAGTAATATTCCATTGTGTATATATGCCACTTGTTTTTTTTTTATCCATTCACATATGGAAGGGCATCCAGGTTGGTTCCACAGTTTAGCTATTGTGAATTGTGCTGCTATAAACATTGATGTGGCTGTGTCCCTGTAGTATGCTGTTTTTAAGTCTTTTGGGTATAGACTAAGGAGAGGGACAGCTAGGTCAAATGGTGGTTCCATTCCCAATTATCCAAGAAATCTCCATACTGCTTTCCATATTGGCTGCACCAATTTGCAGCATGTGGGACCATATTTTGTTTGTGCTTCTTGGAGCAGTGGGATTAAGCAGTCCCTTCTCGCTGTGGCAGTCCTGCCATGTTACGGGGTGCAGAGAGGCATTAGTTCAGGTCATCAAGGATCTTCTGATTCTACACGTTCCTTTGGAAAGGGAATTCTGGATAGCTTTAGGATAGAGATCAGACTGAATCTTGCTTTGCTGATGGGATGGTGGAGCTGTGGATGCAGTGAGGAAAGCCTAGAAATTAGAAAACCACTGGAACTCAGCTCATCCTGGGGAAACTGGAGGAAACGTTAGCAAGATGTTTGTACCTGAGGGTTTAACAGTATTATTGCTGTGAGCAGGAGTATGGTTGTATAAACCAAAATATACTCATACAATGAATCACTCTGCAGTTACTAAAATTGCTAATGTTGATCTGTAATCTGGTAAAGTGGAATAGAACTTAAAAACCATCATGTAGACTAGGTTATCATTATATATGTATTAGGGAAAATGGTAGATGTCTGTACACGAACATGTTACATATTTCCAAGTTGTCAGATTTTTGAATACTAATTTTTTTTCTGAGTGTTTAGCTGTGTTTTTTAAAAATTTTTCTACAATGAAAAAATTGTCTTGCTTATTAAAATTTGATAAAACCGGTAGAAAATGAATGAAGCTGGGAGTGAGGAGTGAAAGATGAAGGAATTTAGGATGCAAATAAGCCAGTTGAGTAGGCTAAGGAAACCATGTGACTCCTTTCCTTGAGGAAGATGGTCCAAGCACCATGAAAGCAGAGGATTCTGGGAACAACTCAAATCTGCTGGACTCTTAAGCTGGGTGCATGGGAAACCACATTCCTTCCATATGCCTTCTTGCCAGTTTTTCAATGTAATACAAGACACATTTTTTTTTTTCTGGGTGCATGATTACCTGGAATACTGTCACATTTTTCAGCCTGTGTGGTAGCTAAGTTCTGGCCAACGGAATGTAAACCATCTTTAGGAAATGTCCTTACTGAGGGAGACTGATATTCTCTTTCTTTTCCTCCGTCCTCCTATGTGAAATGAGGCATGGTTCCTGGGGCTCTGGCTGCCATCTTGAGGGCCACTCCTAAACAGGGAAGGAAGGGCTCTGGCTTGCAGAGCTGCTTATACCCATCTTGGACTACTTCACTTTAGACTTTGTCTGAAAGCTGCATAAACTTCCATCGCGCTAAATGTATTGTCTTTTGGATTCATAAAAGAAAAGAAAATAAGAATGAAAAGATAAAGAAAAAAGAATTCGAGACTTTTGGCTTTGCATGAAAATGATAATATCACTAGTTAGTGTTTATTGAATATTTTTTCCTGTGTTAAACACTCTACAATATATTTTATTTAATTCTTACAAAAAATTTTGAACTGTGTGTTATTTTTGATTAAAAAAAATAAAAATAACAACAACAACTACAAAAAAAAAGACTAGAAAAATGCAGATCAGAAAAATTAAAAGTTGCTGAAATTCATAAAGCTAGAAGGGGGTGGATTTAGGATTATCCTCAAGTCCAAGCTTGTAACCACTAAACTTGTGTTTCTCAAAAAGTCTGTGGTTGACATTTACAGAATCCTGGGAGATGATAAAAATACAGATACCAGACCTCATCCTTGAACTACTTGATCAGAATCTCTTGGAGTAGTTTAAGTAGCTGCATTTTTGTTAAACATCCCTACCACTTGTTTTTTTCCTTAATTTATTTTTTTATTTGTTCTTCTTAGATATACATGACAGTAGAGTATATTTTGACATATTCCACATACATGGATATAACCTATTCTAATTAGGATCTCATTGTTGTGGTTGCACATGATGTGGAGTTACATTCGTTGTGTATTCATAGATGAACATAAGAAAGTTATGTCTTATTCATTCTACTGTCTTTCCTGTTCCCATCCATCCTCCCTTCCCTTAATTCTCCTTTGTCTAATCCAATGAACTTCTATTCTTCCCCTTCCCACCTTCCCTTGTTATGGGTTATTATTTGCATGTCAGAGAGAATATTTGGCATTCATTTTTTGGGATTGGTTTATTTCACTTAGCATGATGGTCTCTAGTTTCATCCATTTGCCAGCAAATGTCATAATTTCATCCTTCTTTATGACTAAGTAATATTCCATTATATATCTATATATCTATATATATATCTATCTCACATTTTCTTTATCCATTCATCTGTTGAAGTGTACCTAGTTTGGTTCTTCGCTTGGCTATTGTGAATTGAGCTGCTATAAACTTGATAAGGCTGCTTTATTATAGTATTCTGATTTAAGTCCTTTAGGCATAAACCGAGGAGCCTACCACCCAAGTTTGCTGCTACTGGTTCAAGTTACTGGTTCTAGCTCTAATGGGGGCAGTGCAGTTTTGAAGCAAACTTTGTAAATTGCCAACATGCTTTCTTCTTCACCTTTCTGGAATACATTTCAAGTGCTGAGAGAGTATATTAAACCTGAATTATGTGAAGTGCTTCAATGCCTTCGAAGATGCCTAAACATTGACGCCTTGAGATAGGCCTCATTGACAATCTTCATCTCTACCCCATCTTTTGTCCATCTCCCATCAACACAGATTAGTATTGTGGAAGTAAATTGTAAATCTGTCTTTAACCATGAAGACCTTCTTCATCTTCTTTCTCTTCATTTTGGATGATCTCTCCCCTGGTATTCTCAGTTCTGTGTTCATAGAAAACAACAGGGGTGGAGTAAACAAGGGTGGAGGGAGGCAGGAAGAGATGGAGAGAGGGAGAGGGAGTGGGGGAAGGTGAGAGAGAGGGAGAGAGGGAGGGAGCCCGAGAGAGTGACTCTGACGAGTGGAGAAAATTAACTTTCACTGGGGTTCTGCCAGGCCAGGGAAACTTTTTTTACATTATTGCACTCTGCGCTTTCATCTAATATCTCATTCATGTGACCTCAGAACCCTCTGAAGGGGGTGGTAGTAGCCTATTTTGCTGATTAGGAGACAGAAGTTCTGAGATGGTAAGTGCCACCAGGCAAGGTCATATAGCCAATGTGTGGCAGACCCAAGATGGAATCAGGTGCATCTGACCTCCACGCCCTGCTGCTTCTATCACACTCATGGTCTCTCATCCAGCTGAAATCACCTAGTATGTTTTTCCATCATAAA